CCCAACCCCAACCCCAACCCCAACCCTTCCTTCCTTTTTCCCTTCCTCCCTTTTCTTCCTTTTCCTTCCCTCTTCATTCTCCTTTCTTCTCCCTTCCCCTCTTTCCTTATTTTTCCTTCCTTGTTCTCCTTCCCATCTTCCCTTCTTTTCCTTTCTCTTTCCTCTTTCCCTTTCTCCTTTCCCGTCCCTTCTTGCATGTGCAAATGCAAAAGGGGAAACATTTCTCCCTTTCTTTTGTTTTTGGTTTGTTTTGATAGCCCTCTGCCAGCAAAAATGGAGCCCTGGGCTGCAGGAGGCCACCCAGGCCATAAATGGGGTGCAGGGGAGCCACATGTGGTCCCACCTCATGCCCCATTTTTACTAGCAGAGGCACCATTGGCTGGTCCTTTGCTGTTTCCAGGGCCAGGTCTAAGCACTCTGTGGCTCACAAGCCTTGAGTTTGACACCCCTGCCCTATATGGTCCCACCAACAGCTTAACTAAGTCTCTCCTTTTGCATACTGGAGCAAGTAACACTGTAATTGGAAACAAAAACAAGGAGCTCAGTTTTGAGAGTGGACCTTTTTATGGCATCCAGATGTGCCCTGATGTTTACTGAAATAAGAAACCAAAATCCAAGTGTAGGGCAGCATTCAGATCTAAGTAGGCATGGAGGTTGACTCCTTGATGGTGGGAAAGGATGGTGGAAATGACCATTGAAATAAAGTCACCTGGAAAGGGCATGGATCTAATCAGGAAGGGTCCATGAGGCCACACCTGGATCTTTTACTCCTACTTGGTCCTGGATGGAGCTGATTATCTAGGGCTAATTCGGGCTGGTCCCTGGCCAACTTGGGATGGAGGGAGCTTTCTTGATTGATCTGCCAGAAGAAGTATGGACACTGTATATTAACAGATTAACAGAGTTGGAAGGGACCTTATATGTCCATGATGGCAAAACTGTGGCATGCGTGCCAGAAGTGGCACACAGAGCCATCTCTCCAGGCATGGCAGCCGTTGCCCATTGCTGTTCCGGGTTCCAGCGTGCACATGAGTGCTGGCCAATTGGTTTTTGTACATGCGGGAGCATTGGAAACTGGAAGAGCAGCTCCTTGGTGCACATGCACACGCCAGGAAGCTGAGCTTCTGGTTTCTGGAGTGCCAGCTGGTCTTTGTGTGTGCATGCATGCCAGAAACCAGAAGACCAGGTGACCGGCTCGCATGTGCATGCCGGAAACTGGAAGGTGCTCATTTTGGCACTCAGTGCCAAAAAGTTTGGTCAACACTGTTATAGCTCATCTAGTCCAACTCAAGTGGGAGACCCTATACTATTTCTGACCAATGGCAGTTCAATCTCTTCTTGAAAGTCTCAAATGATGAAGCTCCCACAACTTCTGAAGGGTTGATTGTTCTCACTGTCAGAAAAGTTCATCCTTATTTCTAGATTGAATCTCTCCTTGTTCAGTTTCCATCGCTTATTCCTTCTCTGGCCTTCAGCTGCTTTGGAAAACAGGTTGACCCCCTCCTCTCTGTGGCAGCCCCTCCAATATTGGAACGCTGCTATCATGTCTGCTATCATGTATGTTACCCTCAGATATTGGAAAGCCTTTTGGGGTGATTTTAGGCTTATTTGGCTAAGCATTCTTTGGCTAAGCAATCCTAGTGGGATCCATTGGCTTTGGGATCAGTGCTGCCAACTCATTGACTGCAATCCTAGTGACTTCCCCATCAAAGACCCTTCCAGGAATATTTTTTTTTTGGCGTTTGTTTCCAGGCTCGGATGGCAGATCAATTTATGAATGGATGCCACCGAGAGGAAAACCACTCCCCGCAGATATTATTAGGCGAGTCAAAAACCGTTCAAGGAAGAATAGTAAAGGAGCAGCCACAGGGCTGACTCCCTCCTCCCCCTTTTGTCTCCCCACCCCTCCCTGAAGTGAGAAGGAGAGAGAAAAGGGGGCGGAGGTAGGGAGAACATGCCGGAAAGTCACCTTGGAGCGATGCTGAACAGCTCCATTCAAATGTTGCCTTGATAAGCTCAGGCAGAGACCATCTTCCCCCAGGGTGGGTGGGTGGAGAGGTCTCCTCCTCGCCCGGATAGATTCCCCCATCTCCCCTTCTTTATCAATCACTTTTTTTAATGGACTATAATCAGCGCACGTTCCTATAAATGCAAGGAGCATTTCTCCTCTCTGTCTCTCTGGCACTCCCCTTCTTCCTGAAAAGCCGGAGTCACCTTGAAGCCTAACCTGCTGCGTGTAGGGGCTGTGGATGGGCTCTTCCAGCGGAGAATGATGAAAGAGCTGCACCAAAGCATTTGTGGCAGTTCCCGGGGTTAAGAAAAGAACGCTCAAGAGCCTTTCCGAAGATGACCTTGGTAAAAGGATAGGAGTTGTTAAGCAGAGACAATGCGGCTTGATTGGTCGCCCCTGAAGCAAAATGAAGATTGACTGAAAAATAGGTATGACCCACCCACCTTTGCATTACGAGAGGGATGCAATCAAGATCAAGGGAGGTACTAATACCACTCCATAAAGCCTTAGCAAGACCACACCTAGAGTACTGCAACCAGTTTTGGTCACCACACTATAAAAAAAGATGTTGGGACTCTACAAAAAGTGCAGAGAAGAGCAACCAGGATGCTTAGGGGACTGGAGGCTAAAACATGCAGTCAACGGTTGCAGGAATTGGGGAACCAGGGGGAGTTTTAAATAGCAAACGCAGCCTTGCAGGAGTAGCCCATTTTGAAAGTACAACGTGCAGGGTTCACAATCAAGGTTCGAGGTTCATTTTATTTATATTCTCCCTATTCCCAGCGGGATTCAGGGCGGTGCACAAACCCAAGGAGGGGAAGGGAAACACAAGAACTACAACAAAAGGTACAAGGCATTTAAAAACAACCA